TAGTGGATTTTTTATAACATTTCTCATTTCATTTGAATTCTAACATCCAAGGGCTTTCATATGCGCCCTATATATACTTTTCCTTAGAGTGACACAAACCTATGGAGGATTGCCGCTTCGACTTACCTAAAAATCCTTCGAAGTTGACTCAAGAAATCCAAACACTTCAAACATTTTACGAAAACTTAGATCCGACATAACCATCTGACATAAAGGATCAACAAGTCGCCAAGCTTCAGTACCTCCATCAACAAATGGGTAAAGACTGTTGGGGATGCCAGCCTTCAAACATTCGCCGTGCAAATCGTGCGAAGTTACTTTGGAGTTTGCATTGAAATTACCGTAAAGTGATGCTCCGAACCAAGTGCCGAATTCAAAGTGGGAGTTGGAACTTTCTGCTCTTTAGTTTCCAGTCGCGGGTGCCGAAGTAGAGGGTTAGGGACCGAGCGAGCCATACCCAGGACGACGAAGCTGATAAAACCCATACACATTCCTGAGATTAAATGAGCGATGAATTGACGAATAAAAAATGTACTTCTGCAATGAATCGAAATAAATCGGAAAAAAACAGTGCTTCATACGTGCGAGATTTTTGGTCAGTCGACCTGAACATACATGCAGGGCGTTATACATATACACATACGTACATACATATGTGCAAATGTATAACATATGTGTATACATATGTTATACATATACATATATATATGTGTATATGTTGGTCAGTCGACCTGAACATACATACATATACAGGGCGTTATACATATACAAATATTATCGCTCAACTCTGATCTCATAGGAATAAGTTTACCATACACGGAGTTTACCAGCTCAAGGTCGGAATTTATTTCGATATTACTTAAAAACATGAACAGGATTTCCGCATCCCCACTCAGCTCAAATCCCTTACCTAATTACGGTGATCTAAGATTCAGTAAGAATTTGTAGCATTGGTTGTGCACTACAAGCTCCTTGATTGACTTCGTAATGCAATGACGCTATCAGAAAAAAATTATTAAGATAAAAATGTTCAATGAGGTTGAAGCACGTGAGGAATACGGCAGAAAATTAGGCAAAATATTCTGAAATTAATCGTATTGTCATTAATAGAAACACGAATTATACATTAGAATATTTTGGAGCCATCAAGGGCAACAAAAATAATTCGAAAACTATTTTAAAAAATTTTCACGAGGAAATTATAACACTTTTGTGTCAATCTGAGAGAGGGTTAAAAGCCTACGCCTCCATAATGTCACTTTTTTGAGTAATTAACATTTATTTGCATTAATCCAATTGACTTTAATTCGGATTCAAATTACGATGATTTAAATTCTATTAGAATTCAATTAGGTCCCATTCTATGGACAACTACAATGTCGAATTACAAGCGCCTAAATGAAATTGAATCAATGTTTTTCTCAGTAAACTAAAAACACATTAGTCTATTATTTTTTTAATTAATCTAATGATTAAAGATGTAATAAAACTTTAAGTTTTTGCAAGTTAATCCCCCTGGAGCCACTAACACGATCACAAATCTATCGTTTTTTTTTTAAATTCATTTGAACTTCGTTGCTAGGACAACAAATTCCGTCCTCGATGGCCCTCTACCACGCGCGAGGACACTTCAGACTTTACCCTCAGTAATTCTCACTTGCTCAGGACTGGAGTATAAAATTACTCAGGTTTGAAATTTCGGAGCGGAAACTCATCTAACTCTCATAAAAAGTTAAAAAGTTTTCTTCAGGAGATTTGAGTGGACGACAAGTTGCTCTGAAGTCGAAGATGAGCCTTCAGATTGCACCTCTGAGCAAAATAAAGTGTTTCTGGCAGCTGATTTACGAATGAAGGTTCACGAGATGAATAAATATATGAACTAGACAAGTTTTGTTACCGAAAAGTTTTGTTACTTGAAAAGTTTTGTTGTCAGGGGTTGGTGGAACAGTCACACTGAAGTCCAAAAAGTACTGGAACGGCAATCATTTTGCTTGCTTTGATGTCGCACTGAAATAAAAAGAAGTTACTGTAACAGCAATTATTCTGCTTTGATTCGTTGTTGTGGAGCTTCCCGTGCATCGTTCAATGTCAAAATAATGTCAGTTTGCAGTTGCGCAGCGCCCAGGCGATAGCAACATAGACATAACTTCACATAACATATCGCCACTCGCCGCCTACGTGAGTTGCATGAACATAACATCCATTCGAAGCGAGCGCATTCGCTGCCCGTCCATCACTGGTGCACGGTGTGGAAAAAATTGCAGAGCATAACATCCATTTATCGTCGTTAGAGTTGCGTCATTACAAGAATTTTTTTCCAGTACGCAAAAACTTTTCAAAATTCGAAAGATGAGTCAGAATTTTTCCTCAGTAAACGCACGTTTTTCCAGAAATTTAATCTATGGCGTTGATCCCTGCAGTACAGTCATGTGGCAAATTTCATGTTCCTTCGACCGTCTTGTCAGATTTATGACGTCCATCTCCTCGTTCCTGCGCTTATTCACATTTATCATCCGGCGCGAGATGTACTATGGAAAATTTACTGAGAATCCATAAAGCCGCAAGAAATTTTATGGCTCGAGGGACTTGCGAAACTTAGATTAAATAAAAATATTATGCTTGAAGATGGAATGGAAAATTACAGGAGTAAAAATAAATAATTTGCTACCTTGACTGTCTAGTGCAACGGTGGAAATCCATATTGTCCGGTCAGGGGCAAATTTTACGAAAGCTCAAAAATTCGAAACATTTTTAGATAAACACTTGCAATCATCGCTTTCTTTCTTATCTTTCATCGCTGTTTTCAACCGTATAACTTTAAAATTTAGTTTGATTGATAGGTTTCCCAATTAGATAATAGGTTCAATAGGAGTTTAATAAGCCTATTAGTACTTATAAGTAAATTAAACTAAATTTGCCTGCAATATTTTTTAGTAATATCTCGCAAACTTTCACACTTTTCCGAAGCTGAACCACGGCCGTCTACTTCAAAGTCCAGTCATGCGCACGTGTGGTGATTAGGAAGATTATTTTAAGACTTTGCTTCCTAAAATTACGCAGAATATCAAGCCTGATTATGTCAGGTCTACTAGCGAACTTGCTGCCCTATACCAACCGTGCAACGAACCTTACGGCTCAATCAGATAAATGAATGAGACTATGTCCATATACCGCTACATTTTTTTGCCTTTGTGCATGTCATCCTAACTGAGTTTGACCCGGCAAAAGAGTGTTTCTCTTAATAAAAAACAGCAGGTTTCCTGATTGTCTGAGCTTGTAGCGCCAATTGTAAACATTCATTTACGCTAAAAGAGCGTAAAGGTCGCTATCATTCCTGAAATTAAACGATGTTGCTTCCACAATATTGTAGTTATTTTTCCAAATCTGAAAAAATGAATATCAAGTTTTTTCGTCTGTCCACAGACTTGCAAAGAAAGTCTGTGCAAGTCCAGTAAGTGCAAAAGATTGGTGTTGATCTCAATTGACCAATTGACACTACAGATTATTTGTTTTTCAAAAGCCAATAATTCAACTTGAAAATTACCCTCATAGCAATAACATAATTTTCGTTTCGCCTTGAGTTTCTAGAAATCCTTCCGATTTGGTTTTTAAAATCCATTTCATAAAAAAACTATCCCCTCATCCGTTTCTATAGTAAAGGCGTCTTTTTGCCTCTTTCATTCAATGGTCCCCATATAGTAACCATTGTATACAGTGACAATATAAACAATAGAAAATCAACACTATATTCATCTCTTGAGGCAGTAAATAAATGCTGTTTCCAGTGAAAACTTTCTCTTATCGCACGAAGCCTTCAGCATAATTCCAGTTCTATTTCTCTTGGCCATTCCATGCATGTATGTAGTCGAGCTCTGTCTGTCCGTCGCGCCTTCGAGTTTACAAAGATCGGGGAGCCCGATAGCCGACCGCGACATGCATGTGGACCAAGGGACTACTATATTTACGCCCTAGAATAGTGAGTTGGTTTTACAAATCGCAGAACGCATAGTTTGAAAGTGCTCAAATTGTACACATTTCAGTACGTCGAGAAATAACGAATATAATAGATGTTATCACATATTATTTTAATTTTAGATGTAAGCGTCGAGAGAGAACGAATATAATAGATGTTATCCCAAATTATTTTAATTGCAGAAGAAAGCGTTCCTGATGTATCTCAGAATTCGCGTTATGAATAATCGATGAGCTTTCCAGAATTTCTTCTGTTTTCGAGTATCGCAAAGCGGAACTTCGCATTGAGCGATGACTGCGCTCTACCTAAAAAAGCACACGTTCAGTAAAGGGAATTGAAATGGATGAATCCTGACTGGTGCTCTTTCTTAGCGGGGATTGAGATATACGTCTGAAAATATCCCAGGGAAATCACTGGAGGACGTACGAAACTTCACTGGAAATTGGAAGGATGGAATTCATGCGTTGAGCATTGCGTCCGGCGATTCCCTTGCACTAACTAAAGATATGAAACGGCTGCTGTGTCGAATCGAAGCTGCTGAGAAATTGAATAAGCTAAAACCTCTGAATGTCTAGGAATTGTACTCACGAACTGCGCTTTAGGAAAGAAATGTTATTTCGAAATTTACGATTTCTTATTTCACAACTGAAAAAAGTTCTGTGAATATGTCAAACTTCAAAGTTAATTTTTTATGCATTTTTAGGATTGAAAAAATGTACGTATTTTCAGGCTTGTTCACTGTTGGATCAGAATTTCGGAATAGAACTGCATGTTTTAGTCGCCGGAAAATTCTTCAGACGTTGATAAAATTTTCAGCATTTATAATGTTGAATCTATTCCATCAGAAATGCTTTAACATGAAAAAATGTAAGCGCATAGAATATTTCCCTGAAATACGCTAATTCTAATTTTGCATACGTTATCAATGATCTGACCGGTAATTGAATTTCAGTCTCATTCATGTCCAATCGTACAGAGTGTTGACCAAGTCAAATGAATATAAGCTAACACTTTTTTTCGTGCGCAGAGTCGGAAATTGGCCAAGTGGAAGTGGTGGAAGGACTGAACGCAACTCTGCCGTGTGCAGTTGACTTCCCGCCAAATGACGTCCCGGTTTTGACATTGTGGTACATTGGGCCCGAAGAAACTCCAGTATACAGGTCAGTAGATATATGAATGCCGACTTTGTAGTGCTTTGGTCTTAGAGTTACCCCAGTCTACAGGTCAGTACTAGAACTCGTTCCGTGCAAAGGCTTGAATTTCACGGAGCAGTGCTCTGGATGGCTGCAATTAGAATGGAAATCCTCTGCTTCGCAGAATAAATAAAGAATGAAATAGTTTACCTTTACCAAGGAAACTGTATTTATGGCTCTGATGAGATTTGTCATATCCTGCTACCCGTGTGTGTTGTAATGGGAGATTATTATGAATTAACTATCCATTCTTAATAAGTCCATTATGAATGGATTTGAATATTCTGTTAATTAGGAAAACATTACAATACTGATGCACAAGTAGGAACTACTATTTTTGACTCGAAAGTAGCTCAACAAATATGTTACGGAACCAATACGAAAAATTAAACACAAAATTCGATTAAAATTAATTAATTGATTAATTAAAAATTAAGCAAACACAAAATCGTTAATAATAAACCGTTACATGCTACTCATGACAGTGCATATGCATTCTTTGCGTCACACCACGCAAGTATATTACAGAATATTCTCGTTTCACACGATAAAACGCAAATTTCAAAAAATTTCCCGAAATTTGCATGACGTCCAACAAGATTGTTTTCCACATATCACACATTGCTATGAAGGGAACAGCCCCTCCAAGTAAATTGAGGCGGGAGCTTTTGTTGTTTGCGAGCGTACCTGCAGGTGAAGGGACAGCCGTTAATTGCTCAAATTTTACCAAATTATTAATTAAAACATAGGAGCATGCAAAGTTTATTATTAAGAGGCTCGTTTCCCACGTTTATTTCTCAGATTTTCATGTATGATAGGCCCTTTCGTTATGCAAAGTGGAAAGAATCGAAATTGAATTTTTTCTGCAAAATTTAGCTTGAAAAATAGCTTTCAAACCATAGTTCAAAGAGTAACTTAATTCAACAAAGGCCGTAAAAATATTGAGTTTCCAGTTTTCATTTTCCCTGAGTTTTCTCAGTCGTTTATCGAAATTGCAGTAAAGTGCCCTATTCTTGCTGATGCTAATCGACAAGCGGGAAGAGCGGCAACTGAATGCCTCGAATTCGTCTCGGGAGCCTCTTGAGGTTCTCCAATGGATTTCTATCAGTAAATTGACAATCTAATTTAAAGAACTTGGTGAGCCGCATCCGAATTGTGGCAAGTTTCTTAGTGAATTTCTTCATCTTTTTGAAAGCCCGGCAATTGAGAAAGACGTGATCTGCTCTTATGAACTGCCCAGCGGAGTGGCCATGAACATTTAAAGTAAGAAAATAATAAGTAAGAAAATAATCTTTTGGGTAATATCACCTTTTTCTAGCATGACCTTAAAGTTTATATTTTCAGTTGTATGAAGGTCTGATAAGAAGAGAAATGACCTATTTTACCACGTTTTTCTTAGCTCTTTAGAGAAATTTGAACACGTATACGTGTTCAAATAAGAAGAGAAATGACCTATTTTTGATAGTCATCTCTTTTAACCACTGAAAAAAACTGAGTGATTTCAACGGGAATTTTAAAGTTATCGCACCTTGAACGTAGACATGTAAGAAACCTTCACAAAGATTACGTGTAAAGAAAAAAATGGCTGTAAGATCATTTTGCGCACTTAAGAGACCAACTTGCTCCAAGATGATTTTTAGTATAGAGATTACTCACGTAATTTAAGTGAGTAATCATTAAAAAAAATTAAGTTCAACAGATGAATGGGAAGTGACTCTACTACGAAGATTGGATCAACGTAAAACTTGGCGAAAACTTGATCAAGCATCTACTAAGTGCAATGTTCTAACGTGAACGGCATTGGAATCGTTAAATATTTTTTATTTCTGAATTATTTCGGCCAATGAAACAACTCCCAATAATTGTAATAATGATATGTTGATTACCACAATCTTGTAAAGTAGAATTCATTGGGAAAAAGTGAAGGTGCAGTTTTGCTCAGGGCTTCATTTATTCTATCTTTTGCTTTTTGATGAATTCTTGGCACATTATTTAACTGAGCTTACAAGGTCATGAGGTCAATGAATGGGAATATAATTGCTCTGAAGCCCTATTTTTTGCCATAATAACTTTCTTCCTCGATTACTATTATTTCATAATAAATTGTTAACAAGCTAAAGAACAGCAAAGACGTTGAATGAACAGCCTTATATATTTATATACACATTGAGCAATAACATATTAACAAAATATATGTAACTTGGCAACAGGCAATGCCGTAACATTTCTCATATATAAAACGCAAAATCAGCTTCATATATTGGTTGTCAACGAAACAGTCAATGATCAGTGAAGTTAGCAATAGGAACATGAACTCGCAAGTTCATTCAATCAGTGTGAGCTCTCGAATCTAATTGCGATTGAATATTCCATTAGGCTGCCTGATTGGCTTCACTCGGCGTGCTGTTTGTCGCACAGTTATGACCAGAGGCCGAGAGATGCACAGTTCAGACTTGGCCAACGCTGCTTTTCGATTAGAGCGAAGTACGATTCGTGCCGAGCTGTTAGCCTCCAGCACTGCGCTCTATTTGTGTTATACATTGTATGCATTCTATTAGTAATTTTCCCAGATAAGTGGGGAGACAAATTTTCCTTCGACACAGTTGACTAGCACCAACACTAGCACCAAGTGATTAGTATTAATCACTTGAGTTCGACAGAAACCTAATTTTTCGCAGTAACTTCAAAACTTTGCAAGTGTAACGTCACTGTTGCCTTTTTAGCGCATTTTCTAATTTATGGAAAAAATTCTCTTTTGTGCTCGCCATGTCCGTCCGTCCGTCTGTCCGTGACTCCACCTTTTCGTCGATTTTGAGGAAATGCGCTCTCTAGCTGTCACTCACTGCAGTGAGGAATGAGTTACATTTTTTTACTACGTCATTATTAATTTTTCATAATATAACGTCACTATTTCTCACAGTTACGACCAGCGGCCTCGAAGCAACAGTTCAGGCTGGGCAGACCCGACAGTGTTCGGTTACAACAGAGTGCGCTTCATGCCGCACTGGCGCCCTCCAGCTTTACACTTCAGTAATGTACGGCGCGGGGACAGTCGAGTTTATCGTTGCAGGGTCGACTTCCAGCACGCCAACTCTCGCATGGCCTGGATCAGGCTACTAGTTATCGGTGAGTTAGTCTATAGGATATTAATTCCTATTATTTTACAGGACGTGGATAAATGTGAAGATTCATATTGTAGTCTCAAAGCCTTTGAGAGGAAATAATTTAGTTCCGAACATCGAAGTTTTCGACTAAATCGTTAAATCATTTTTGGTGATATAATTTTTAGGTGTTTAGTAATCACATAGCAGAGTTTCAGATGATACAATTTTTAGAAGATGCTTTCGCAACTTAAGGGTATATTGATCGTTCTCAATGAGCACTTAATGCTAACATAAGTTCGAATAAAAGTTATCATTTTACGAGTCTAAAATAAAAGAAATAGTAGATATGTTTTTGGTTTATTATTATTGACCAAGACCCGTGCTCTTCATTGCACTCTCAATGAGATCAATAATTATCTATACCAATGCATTTATTTGTTGCAAACTATAGACTGTAATTAATTACAGTTAATTACGGGCAATACTAACAAATTCACAATGAATCACCCTGGTTCAGGTTACTTGCGAGCGGTCGGTACTTGTTTGGGTCGTTCAATTTTTAATGCGCTCATAATATTTTATTCATGAATATATTATAGATAGAATAATTGTGAACCTATTTATTAGATCTAATTCTAGGCGTGAATTGTGTGAAGATAAAATATGCTACCATACATGTTGAGCATAGACTTGAAATGTTCAAGCTAAGTGTTCTTCAATATGGCGATTCATTACTAAGTTAATTTCTGTTCTCCGCATTCAAACTTTAATTTTTAGTTATACATATGCGTCAAGTAAATTAAAGTTATCTATTTTGGTGTTAGTTCCGACGTCACGTCTGGACTTGACCGTACACCAGTCGCCTGTGATGCCGGGATCTCGAGAAGACGTCACCTGTACGGCGTCTGGAGGTAATGTAAAATCTGATGTTCCCTTTAAAGTTTATGTCCCTCCAGGCAAATGACGCTGAAACCACGTTGATTATGAGTTGATAGTGTTGAAAAAATTTATTATCAACGTTGTTTCAACATCACATGCCTGGTGGGATGGTCCTTAGGTGGTGAAGATGCAGCCCAATATCAAATATTTGTATAGGGGTAAATGAACGTAAAATTGGCTACACGAAAATGGATAAATTCATGGCGAGCGTGAAAGGAAAAACATTCTTAGTAGGAAATTGTGCTACGGTTAAAAATGAAAAATAAAGCGTACGAGTTGAGAAAAAATGAAACTTAAATGTGCATAAATTTTTTTCCCTATGATGCATCAAACCTGGGAAATAAACAAGAATTTAGTTTATAAATACACGTACCATTGCTCGTCAAAAGCCAAAAAATCTAACGAACAAAAATATCAAGCATCTTTTGTTAAGGAAATCGTATTATGACATCTAAATGGTGAAAACTTATTTTCAAGAGATAAAGGTGTGGCTTTCACAATACACAACATTTTATTTCCCCTGTCCTTTGAAAATACTCGGCAGTTTCTCGACTCCATCTCACAAGTGTGAACCACTGCGAGTTTTTCGCCAGTGACTTTCATTACAGTAATTTAGTCCCTCACTTTCCGCCTCACTTCCAAACTTCGCCGAGGGGATCATCCGAGACCAGCGTAACGAGCGCCATCAATTTTCCTTCGAAGAAAGTCCCTCAAAATCCCAATATTGTGGAACAGAATATGTTCGTGAATTGCACCGCTGGGAGAACCGGCTTTTCCAGGTTCCCTCTTTAGTCGCTTTTAGGAAAATGTCAATACAATTTTATAGATTATCGACAAGTGGTCTTAGCACCTCGTTAGGATGTTGGTTTAGAACTCAATGAACCGAAAAATTCAACGATCCCAGTGATTTCTATGGATGAAATTCTTGAATGTAGTTAACTAATTGTTGAAAGAATCTGTAAAAGTGCAATGGAACGTTAAGCAGTCCATGTCTTCATTTTTATGTAAATAGATGCTATAATTTAGCTGGCTGTGCATTAAATAATGAGATAAAATCATTTGGATAAAAAGATTGCTATTATGGACACTGGTTTGAAAATAAAACCAGTTAGGTCCACGGATATAAATTACCTTGAACTAGCAAAACCAATTAATTTACAGTATCTCCAAAATATGTGAATAATGATGCGGGGTTCGAGTTATTTAAAAATGCACGATATAATTCCACTGTAAATAGTAATTCTCATTATATTTCGTACTGCTCATATTAACGAAATCGTACTGCTCGTATTTACGAAATTGTACTACTAGTATTTACGAAATAGTACAGCTCGTATTCACGAAATCGTACTGCTCGCATTTACGAAATCGCACTATTCGCATTTACGAAATCGTATTATTCACAGTTACGAAATTGTACTGTTCGTATGTACGAAATAGTACTGCTCGTATTTACGAAATTGTACTACTGATTTGTACGAAATCGTACTGCTCGTATGTACGAAATCGTACTGCTCGCATTTACGAAATCGCACTGTTCGCATTTACGAAATCGCACTATTCGCATTTACGAAATAGTACTGCTCGTATGTACGATATCGGCCATGAAATTATAACGTATTCTAAATTTCACCAAATGGCCCCATAAAAAATGTCATAAATATTGATACTCCAGCGATAACCTCTTACTGGATGTCATTATTATTCATATATCACCTTTATTAGATCAAAAGCTCATTTCCTGTAGTCGAAACTCATACAAGAAAGTACGCTTTCATGAAAAATGTAAATTAATCAATACTATTTATTCTGAACTGACATATACCATAATCAGATGTGTAAGGACTTAATTTCTACGATTAGTTAATATATTTAAATGATGAAATTAATACTTACATAGATTACAATAGCAATAATACATGACAATACATTGCATCTTCATTTACAGTTGATGAAATTATAGATGGAAGGTAAATTGGATAATTTCTGATTTTTGCGGCGAACGGGAGGTGAAACGCTCCTATCGTGACATTTCTTTCAATATATACTCTCTTCCTACTTAAACCTATATAATATCATCGCATCGTGTACATTTGACGCCAAAATGACGCTATTTCAGGATTGAATTTTCTATAATTAGTTTAGCTACGAGATTCCGTGTAAATATTTATTCATAGTTTCTGAAATTCCGAGCACAAGTTTCGTTTACACAAACACATTCATAATGCACCCAATTTTTTCTCAGGGGTGTAGTGCCGACTGCGTGAGTTTTTCGCCTGTGTCAGTTTTCCGTCAGTTCAAACTTGCATTTCCAACTCATCTTTCAAAATATTGACTTTCGATGTTCCGTGAAATCAAAAGTTTAGCAGGAATCATAAAATTTATGTTTTATCAAAAAGAAGAAGATGCCAGATCAAACGAGGGAAGTTTTTTGTGTGTGAATTACAGAAGTGTGTGTGCTGAACACCGGTAAAAATCCTTGCAAACCCTTGTGTCTTATTATTATGCCAATAATTTCAGTTTAGAATTAAATTCACAAATCGACAAAATTGCATAGCTACTTATTTATTTCTCGAAGAATAAAATTTCCGAAGGGTTGAACAAACAAACGGGTTATTTTCTCCAATTTGGTTCACGGTTACAGTTATAACATGGAAGCATACTAAGCTCAAGTCAGGTTATGAGCCTTTGGTTGAAATGGTTCAACATACTAAATACCAAAGAACAATGCAATATCGAAATAGCACAGGAATTGGAAAAAAATTCTTTATTATTGTGCTGTCACTCGTGGAGTGCATGACCTCAAATATAGCATAAATTGTGGTCAAATGCGTTTCGTTTAATGTTTTTCTCGAATACAATTTCTGTAATCTCATAGCATTTGCAGGCATCTATATATCATAGTGCGTGGCACAATTTGTCCAAATTTTTTGCTTCTACTACATTTTTTACCAACAGACCAGGAAATTAATAAAATAATGAATATTATCCCAGTTTTTGCATGCTATTTTTATTTCCTAGCATCCAGGGTCTGTACTGATCGAGCAATGATTTTATCATGCCACCTACCATGTTTCTAGCATTTTCCCGACATTTCATTTATAATTCTTGACTGATATGAATTTTTAGGCTGGCCTCCGGCCCGCATAATCTGGCTACAAGAAGGGCAAGTGGTTGACGCTAACTACCACATCAACAAAAATAAAGGCATCTCCTACAACGCTCTGGAGGCTGGAGCGTCCAGTGGAGACCTACTCTCACCCTTCGTGTGCCAGGCCTCCAACAACGACATCATGACGCCACTGACGACGACCTACACCCGCAACGTTACATGTGAGTGCTGAAGAGTTATGTTGTTGATCACACTATGCCCCACACCCGCAAGGTGACGTGTGCGTGGAGAAAAGTTATGCTGTTGTTCACACTATGCTGAACACCGGCAATGTGACGTGTGAGTGCAGAAGAGTTATGCTGTTGTTCACACTATGCCCCACACCGGCAATGTGACGTGTGAGTGGAGAAAAGTTATGCTGTTGTTCACACTATGCTGAACACCGGCAATGTGACGTGTGAGTGCAGAAGAGTTATGCTGTTGTTCACACTATGCCGAACACCCGCAATGTGACGTGTGAGTGGAGAAGAGTTATGCTGTTGTTCACACTATGCCGAACATCGGCAATGTGACATGTGAGTGGAGAAAAGTTATGCTGTTGTTCACCCTATGACGTTACAGGTGGCTACCTAAATGTTGAAATATATGCTGCAGGGTAAAATTTGTCGTGTGTGGATTTGTGTACTCCGGTGCCCAACTAGAAATCGTGTCTGGGATTTGTCTGTTTCATCTTTAAAACTAAGTGATACAGAAGTTCTTGTAATGTCTTTTTCATTAAAATTAATGTAGTAATGAAATCATTACTAGTTCTTTTTTATTAAGCTTTCTAATAAGTAGGTTTCCGTGAATCATCATGCATAATTATATCAAGGTGCAATTGTGATGTTGAAAATATCAATATGGACCGTCTCTGAGCAGGAGAACAAAATTCACCATATACCGATACCTGCAATCGACTTTGTAGTGCTTTGGTCTTAGAGTTACCCCAGTCTACAGGTCAGTACGAATGAATGTGCAACCTTATGTTGCCTTGGTCCTGAAGCAACCGCAGTCTACAGGTCAGTAAATATATGAATGACGGCATAATGTTGCTCTGGTCCTGAAGAAACCCCAGCCAAGAGGTCAGTAGATATTTGAATGACTAAATTTTAGTGCCAAGGTCTCAAAGAGTTCTCAATCTATAAGGTCAGTATGTACGACTTTGAATGACGACTTTGAATGACGACCATGAATGACGACTTTGTGACTATATGAATGACGACTTTGTGGTAAATAAGTCAGGAAAAATCCTGGTCTACATGTCCGCATACATCACAAGACTTTGAGGTTCGACTTGCCACTATTCATGATTAACAGTTGCAAAAGTATGTTCTAGCATTCTGACAAATTTTTTTAAGAGTAATTGACGCGGAGCGATTGCTCTTAAAGGTTATTAACATGCAACGCAAATTTTGGCAACAAAGCCCGTCTTCTCTGATAATATTTGCATCATACATCGGCTTCGTTACTGATATTATAGAAATAAGTAACAAACTTACAAAAAGTGCGTTAGAATCATTTTCTGCAAACACTTGAACATTTTAATCTAATTTTCACAAGGCGTCAAACATTTTTTTCTTCGCAAATTTCGGCTAAAAAACATTAATTCATCATGCCATCATTTTTAATAAACCTGGTTTATTGGACAAACAAGCTGGATAGACAATAGCAAAGGTTTTGCCAAGTTTTTTATTTTTCCTGTTCGATGATTTAAGAATTTGGTCCTTATGGAAGAGCGCAGCGGCTTTTTCGAGGATGAAATTCAAGTCAAACTCTATTCGATATTCTAAGTCTTGTAATGCATAAATTAAGCACGATAGATAAAATAAGCTAAAAAGATACAGAAAAAAATACATTTTAGAACTTTTGTATGAGAAGTAAAATCGTGTGTTAGCAGCCGATATTTTATTGTATTTAACATTAATCCGGTCGAAAGATGCTAAGTGAATTTTTTGTTCATATTCTAGTCAAACTCTTGAATTTATTCCATCGAATAATTGTTCCTGAGTTGCGAATAATGTACCGAATACAACGAATCGTTCCTCCTCGCTGCTTTAACGACATGTTTATACAACGAACTGGGTCAATTTATAGAGATTCTCCCTTCATGTTGACCGTAACGCTGGAAATAATTCTATTTTCAGGATTATAATTCTCAGAACTCGTTCCGTGCAAAGGCTTGAATTTCACGGAGCAGTGCTCTGGATGGCTGCAATTAGAATGGAAATCCTCTGCTTCGCAGAATAAATAAAGAATGAAATAGTTTACCTTTACCAAGGAAACTGTATTTATGGCTCTGATGAGATTTGTCATATCCTGCTACCCGTGTGTGTTGTAATGGGAGATTATTATGAATTAACTATCCATTCTTAATAAGTCCATTATGAATGGATTTGAATATTCTGTTAATTAGGAAAACATTACAATACTGATGCACAAGTAGGAACTACTATTTTTGACTCGAAAGTAGCTCAACAAATATGTTACGGAACCAATACGGAACATTATACGCTAAATAGTTCTTTTTAGCGCATTTTCTAATTTATGGAAAAAATTCTCTTTTGTGCTCGCCATGTCCGTCCGTCCGTCTGTCCGTGACTCCACCTTTTCGTCGATTTTGAGGAAATGCGCTCTCTAGCTGTCACTCACTGCAGTGAGGAATGAGTTACATTTTTTTACTACGTCATTATTAATTTTTCATAATATAACGTCACTATTTCTCACAGTTACGACCAGCGGCCTCGAAGCAACAGTTCAGGCTGGGCAGACCCGACAGTGTTCGGTTACAACAGAGTGCGCTTCATGCCGCACTGGCGCCCTCCAGCTTTACACTTCAGTAATGTACGGCGCGGGGACAGTCGAGTTTATCGTTGCAGGGTCGACTTCCAGCACGCCAACTCCCGCATGGCTTGGATCAGGCTACTAGTTATCGGTGAGTTAGTCTATAGGATATTAATTCCTATTATTGTACAGGACGTGGATAAATGTGAAGATTCATATCTAATAAATTATTTCAATTTATATATCGTCATTATTATAATAATGCTATTGCGTGGATTGACATTTCAGTACCTGCTTATTAAATTGGAAATAACGGAGGAAACATAAAATTTACGATTGAATATCTTTTATAGCAGATCAATCATAAACATCACTTTTCTCCTGATAGTAAAGACAGCTAAAATCAGATTGAAATTACGTGCGAAGACTCCATATTGCATTCTTTTATGTAATCGTTGATTTATGATAATAAATGATCTTATGCTGTTTAAAAAGACAAGGAAAAAATAGGGAACATTGTTTTCCTAAGATAAAGGATAACTATGTTTTTTATACGATGGGAAAAGTCAATCCGAATATTAGTTGGAGTAAATTCTCTTGATTATCAATTATTCAGGATTAATCGAGCCAAAGATGATTGCTTGCGCGCCGTTGGCTGTCTCTTATGTGCATAAAATTGCCAATAATTTTCAATGAGTGCCCACGTAATGCCTTGCTGCTGCCAAAAATTTTAAGTAGTCTCAAAGCCTTTGAGAGGAAATAATTTAGATCCGAACACCTAATTTTGTTATTAAATCATTATATCATATTTGCTGATATAATTTTTAGACTTTATCTCTATAGGTGTTTAGTAATCACAGAGGAGGGTTTCAAATAGTCAAATTTTCAGATGAAACTTGCGCAATTTCTGGTTTATTGATCGTTCTCACTGAGAACTTAATCTTAACATAAGTTCAACCAGAAGTTATCATTTACACGTGTCTAAAATAAAAAACATCGTGGATATGTTTTTGCTTTATTATCTTTGACCAAGACCCTTGCTATTCATTGTGCTCTCAGTGAGATTAATGATTATCTATACCAATACATTTATTTATTGCAAACTATAGACTGTAATTAACTGTAATTAATAAGAGTTAATTACGGGCAATACTAACAAATTCAAAATGAAACGTCCAGGTCCAGGTTAATTGCGAGCGATAGGTACTTGTTTGGGTGGTTCAATTTGCAATGCGCTCATAACAAAATTATTCATGTAAGTGTAGGGGTGGAATAAATTACCTACACCCGCAACGTTACATGTGAGTGCTGAAGAGTTATGTTGTTGATCACACTATGCCCCACACCCGCAAGGTGACGTGTGCGTGGAGAAAAGTTATGCTGTTGTTCACACTATGCTGAACACCGGCAATGTGACGTGTGAGTGCAGAAGAGTTATGCTGTTGTTCACACTATGCCCCACACCGGCAATGTGACGTGTGAGTGGAGAAAAGTTATGCTGTTGTTCACACTATGCTGAACACCGGCAATGTGACGTGTGAGTGCAGAAGAGTTATGCTGTTGTTCACACTATGCCGAACACCCGCAATGTGACGTGTGAGTGGAGAAGAGTTATGCTGTTGTTCACACTATGCCGAACATCGGCAATGTGACATGTGAGTGGAGAAAAGTTATGCTGTTGTTCACCCTATGACGTTACAGGTGGCTACCTAAATGTTGAAATATATGCTGCAGGGTAAAATTTGTCGTGTGTGGATTTGTGTACTCCGGTGCCCAACTAGAAATCGTGTCTGGGATTTGTCTGTTTCATCTTTAAAACTAAGTGATACAGAAGTTCTTGTAATGTCTTTTTCATTAAAATTAATGTAGTAATGAAATCATTACTAGTTCTTTTTTATTAAGCTTTCTAATAAGTAGGTTTCCGTGAATCATCATGCATAATTATATCAAGGTGCAATTGTGATGTTGAAAATATCAATATGGACCGTCTCTGAGCAGGAGAACAAAATTCACCATATACCGATACCTGCAAATTTTGAATGAACACTTATGAAATACTATCTTCATCACTTTCATCACTTTTTGCTTAGTTCTTCTCTGTCTAAATAATCTTATCTACAATTTCTCAAAAACATGTTTATATATTTAGCATGTAAGATTTACGCGGAAACGTACATCGGCCCGTCATTGTGGTATGAAAAATGTAGCACTGAACGCTGTTACTGTAAATTGTTTGGACAGCTTTACGTCAAAAACGAGTACATATATAGGTAATAGCAGGTGATTTCATGTTGCTTTTTAAAGGAAATGAAAAAATATTGTATGGATTTTGGTTCCGTGAGTAGCTTGTTAAGCTTGTTTCTTGGTATAGTCTATTCTCTGAAAAGCTATCATTCTCCTGTACACTGATTATACAGGAAGCCTCCCTGATCTCGCATGCAAATCTCATCCTGATCTTGCCTCTGTATCCGTGATACATAACGCTAGAGTAAGACGCGTATGAACGACCTGAGTGCCATTCCTGGGATGATACCCAAGGAATGACTGCCGGCAAGAGACAGGAAAATTATTATATCTTTCGATATTCAAGCGAGATTGTCGAGTCGGAAATCCTGTGTCTACTTCCTTTGATAAAATGATTAAATTTGTCGGGAAGGAGATGGAATTTGCGAGATTATGTCTTACAAATAATCTGTCAGAATGAAACGGCTCATATGTATTGATAATTAAATTTTAAGATCTTAAGGAATATTTGTTTGGTCGATTCCGCAATTCTACGAATTTATTAAATTAATGAATACTTTTGATGCTATTCAGCATAAATAGCATTGCTTTGCTTGCAATGCACAAATTATTTTGTCATTAATTGGAAAAATTTTCATTTCAACAAAACAAAAACATATACCATAATATAAAACCTTGATTTCCCTGTTTCTAGTTATATACGAAAATACCAGAGTGAACTCTTTTTGCTAACCAGCCATAGTATATCAATTCATTTTTCTCGAATGTAAAATACGCGAGCGACTCTTCTGCATCCAAAGTTACATGGATAACACATGCAAATATTTCCAGTATTTGCTAGAAGTTCTTATTGCGTATTCATAATTGAATATCGAATTTCATAATAGAAATTTTTTCGAATATCATAATCGAATTTTTCGAAAATCTAATTTCAAGAGAATGAATACAAAGAGTATTCATTTTTTGCTGTTTTTTTAATAAAATTAATAAGATATCATACGCACTGAAAGTGAGTAAACGAGATTTTTTACCCAGACTACCACAGTTGCCCTTGCTCAGTTGAGCGCAATAATTAAGTTGCTGATTGGTAAACTGAACTTCATCTTTCTTGTTGACGTAAGCTAACCTTTCTACGTTTTTTATTGCCGATCGGAGTATACGAGTATTTTCATCAAATTGCCGATTGGAGATTGATTGCAAGAAATTGGCGTACTTCGCATGTTTAACCAACGTTATTTTATAATAATTTCAGCAACTGAGTGACACAGATAAATTTTCTTTGTTCTGAAACCCGCTCATTTATTCAACTAAATGAAGAGGAATTCAAATAAAGTGGTGAGAAATCGCGAAGATGCTAATTTTTTATATTTAGAATCACACATATATTGAATAACGTCATAATAAGGGTTATTATTAACGTTATCTTTATTAAATATTATTATTAACGTTATTAGTTATTATTAATGTTATATTAATAACGTTCATAAAAACTGCGTTCTTCTTAACGTCATCGCAATAACGCAGTTATTGCGATTAGAAGGCGATTAATTCAATCATTAACACATAATGTTCCTATTCGTTATGAAATAGTAAAGTTTCTACTTGGCGTTAATTTGTATGCTAGTTTACTGCATGAAATTTTGTATTTACTAGCAAGCAGAGAAATAGAATTTGAAAGACATAGTTTGTTTCCATGTCAGATTTTGAAATACTGAGTAATTTTATTTTGAATACGACTAAACAGTATTGCCGTGAATTTTCAAAGTGGTTTGAAATTTAAAAAGTCCATTTCTTTACATGCTCAATTTTTTTTTATCGCAGAATCATCAGTAAAACCCAGAATATTTAAGGCCAGACTAATGAAGACAAGCAGTCAAATAGAATATTTATGGAAAGCAATTCTAGGTGATGGAAAATTAATAATATTTTTTTCTCGACTTGATATTTACCAATTTTATTAAGTAACTAGCAATCATATGAAAATATATTAGACTAATCATCACCTACAATATTAATTTTCATAATAATCAATTTAAAAATTATTAAAAATTTTAATAATTTTTAGCACAAAATTTTCAGACCAAGCGGTGAAAAAAGTTACACGTACAGGAACACTTTTTCGCAAAACGTGCACGGCAGCGACAGCGGACACAAAGTAAAGTATTTCATTTTCAAACTTCACGACTTCCGCTATCATTTTTAAGCAAGTTCCCTGAAGGATCTTCGAGGCTTTCAGCGGCAGCGCTAAATTAAATTCATGGCACTTTGTGAGCCGCCATGGAGTTTATCTATCTACTGACTGATATATCTGATGATATATATCTGATGATATATATCTACTGACCTGTAGATTGGGGTTGCTTCAAGACCAATGTACCACAAAGTCGCCATTCATATATTTACTAACCTGTAGACTGGAGTTTCTTCAGGACCAATGTACCACAATGTCAAAACTGGGACGTCATTTGGCGGGAAGTCAACTGCACACGGCAGAGTTGCGTTCAGTCCTTCCACCACTTCCACTTGGCCAATTTCCGATTCTGCACACGAAAAAATGTTTGCTTATATTTATTTGATCTGGTCAATCTTCTGTACGATTGGACATCAATGAAACTGAAATTCACGGTCATTTATTCAAATAACGATCTTTGATAAATAACCGTATGTATACCGTAAATAAATAACGTATGTAGAATTAGAATTAGGGTATTTCAGGGAAATATGTTGTGTACATATATGTTTTTCAGGTCCAATAATTTCTGATGGTATGGATTCAACATTATAAATGCTGAAAAATTTATCAACGATTGACGAATTTTTCGGTGACTAAAATGTGCATTTCTATTCCGATATTCAGATTCAACTATGAACAGTCCTATAATACGTATATTTTTGTTAAATTTTCCAATACTAAAAATGCATTATTAAGTAGTTTGTAAGTTTGACAGATTTACAGAACTTTTTTTTCGGTGGGGAAATGGGAAATCGGCCATTTCACAATAACATGTTTCATTCCTAAAGCGCAGTAAGTAAGTACAATCCCTAGACATTGAGAGGTTTTAGCTTATTCAATTTATCAGCAGCTTTGATTAGACACAGCAGCCGTATCATATCTTTAGTTAGTGCAAGGGAATCGCCGGACGCAATGCTCAACGCATGAATTCCATCCTTCCAATTTCCACTGAAGTTCGTACGTCCTCCAGTGATTTCCCTGGGATATTTTCAGGTGTATATCTCAATCCCAGCTAAGAAAGAGCACCAGTCAGGATTCATCCATTTCAATTCCCTTTACTGAACGTGTGCTTTTTTAGGTAGAGCGCAGTCAGCGCTCAATGCGAAGTTCCGCTCTGCGATATTCGAAAACAGAAGAAATTCTGGAAAGCTCATCGATTATTCATAACGCGAATTCTGAGATACATCAGGAACACTTACATCTAAAATTAAAATAATATGAGATAACATCTATAATGTTCGTTCTTTCTCGGCGTACTGAAATGTGAACAATTTGAGCACTTTCAAACTACGCGTTTGCGATTGGCAAAACCAACTCACTATTCTTGGGCGTAAATATAGTAGTCCCTTGGTCCACATGCATGTCGCGGTCGGCTATCGGGCTCCCCGATCTTTGTAAACTTGAAGCCGTGACGGACAGACAGAGCTCAACTACATACATGGGAATGACCATGAGAAATAGAACTGGAATTATGCTGAAGGCTTCGTGAGATAAGAGATAGTTTTCGCTGGAAAGCATTTATTTACTGCCTAGAGAGATGCTGATAGTGTATATTTTCCATTGTTTATATTGTCATTATATACAATGGTTATATGGGGTCCATTGAATGAAAAAGGCAAAAAGACGCCTTTGCTATAGAAACGGATGATAGGATAGTTTTTTTTATGAAATGGATTTTAAAAATAAAATCGGTAGGACTTCTGGAAACGCAGGGTGAAACGAAAATTATGCTATTGCTATGAGGTTAATTATAAATTTGAATTATTGGCTGTTGAAAAATAAATTGATTATAACCTGTAGTGCCAATTGATCAACTGAGATCAACGCCAATCTTTTGCACTTATTCGAAACCTGAACAATTCTTTGCAAGTCTGTGCTCAGACAAAAAAAACTTGATATTAATTTTGCAGATTTAGAAAAATAACTACAATATTGTGGAAGCAACATTGTTTAATTCCAGGAATGATAGCGACCTTTACGCACTTTTAGCGTAAATGAATGTTTAAAATTGGCGCTACAAGCCCAGGCAATCAGGAAACCTGCTGTTTTATGAAAAGAAACACACTTTATGCGTGTAGCATAGATATGCCCATTTGCCGGGTCAAACTCAGTTAGGATGACATGCACACGGGCAAAAAATTCAGTGGTATATGGACATAGTCTCATTCATTTATCTGATTGAGCCGTGAGGTTCGCTGCACGGTTGGTATAGGGCAGCAAGTTCGCGAGTAAACATGACATAATCAGGCTTGATATTCTGCGTAACTTTAGGAAGAAAAGTCCTAAAATAATCTTCCTAATCACCACACGTGCGCATGACTGGACTTTGAAGTAGACGGCCGTGGTTCAGCTTCGGAAAAGTGTGAAAGTTTGCGATTTATTACTGGAAAATATTGCAGGCAAATTTAGTTTAATTTACTTTTAAGTACTAATAGGTTTGGTCAACTCCTATTGAACCTATTATCTAATTGGGAAACCTGTCAGTCACACTGAATTTTAAATTTATACGGTTGAAGATAGCGATTAAAGATAAGAAAGATAGCGATGATTGCCAGTGTTTATCTAAAAATGTTTCGAATTTTTGAGCTTTCGTAAAATTTGCCCCTGACCGGACAATATGGATTTCCACCGTTGCACTAGACAGTCAAGGTAGCAAATTATTTATTTTTACTCCTGTAATTTTCCATTCCATCTTCAAGCATAATATTTTTATTTAATCTAAGTTTAGCAAGTTCCTCGAGCCATAAAATTTCTTGCGGCTTTATGGATTCTCAGTAAATTTCCGCAGTACATCTCGCGCCAGATGATAGATGTGAATAAGCGCAGGAACGAGGAGATGGATGTCATAAATCTGGCAAGACGGTCGAAGGAACATGAAATTTACCACATGACTGTACTGCAGGGGCACGGTGTCGTCTGACAAGTCACATTCTCAACGCCATGAAATTTGCCACATGACTGTACTGCAGAGACAAGGTGTCGTCTGACAAGTCACTTTCTCAACGCCATGAAATTTGCCACATGACTGTACTGCAGAGACAAGGTGTCGTCTGACAAGTCACTTCCTCAACGCCATGAAATTTGTCATATGAGCAGTGCTCTGGATGGCTGCAATTAGAATGGAAATCCTCTGCTTCGCAGAATAAATAAACACTGAAATAGTTTACCTTAACCAAGGAAATTGTATTTATTGCTTGATGAGATTTGTCATTTCCTGCTACTCGTGTGTTTTGTAATGGAAGATTATTATGAATTATCCATTCACAATAAATCCATTATGAATGGATTTGTAAATTCTGTTAATCAAGAAACCAGTACAATGCTGATGAAGAAGTGGGAACTTTGGTTCTTGACTAGTAAGTAGCTCAATAAATATGTTACGGAACCAATACGGAACATTATACGCTAAATAGTTATTTTTAGCGCATTTTCTCATTTATGGAAAAAATGCACTATTGTGCTCGCCATGTCCGTCTGTCTGTCTGTCCGTCCGTCCGTCCGCCCGTCCGTCCGTCTGTCCGTGACTTCACCTTTTCGTCGATTTTGAGGAAATGCGCTCTCTGTCATTCACTGCAATGAGGAATGAGTTTCATTTTTTTATTACGTCATTATTAATTTCATAATATAACGTCACTATTTCTCACAGTTACGACCAGCGACCTCGAAGCAACAGTTCAGGTTGGGCAGACCCGACAGTGTTCGGTTACAACAGAGTGCGCTTCATGCCGCACTGGCGCCCTCCAGCTTTACACTTCAGTAATGTACGGCGCGGGGATTGTAAAATAGTTATATTTTTCACATTTCACAGCGTGAATAATTATACGTATAATATTTTCATTCACAACTCAGAGCGTGAATATGTTTATTATTTTCGTACTATTCGTGATATTCTTTAGTTATATAATTTTTGTTAGTTAATTGAAGATTATTTCGCTAGTCGGTCCGCTGAGCGTGCTGGTAGAGGTGTCGACGTGGCCACAAGTGGAGGGCGTTTGTCGTCAATACGTTTATTATTTTCATACTTTTCGTGATATTCTCTAGTTACATAATTTTAGTTAGTTAATTGAAGATTATTTCGCTAGTCGGTCCGCTGAGTGTGCTGGTCGAGGTGTCGACGTGGCCACAAGTGGAGGGCGTGGAGGTGTCCCTGCGGTGCACCGTCGTCGGCAGCAACCCTCCGGCCAGGGTGCAGTGGTACCAGCACAGCCGTCCTCTCACGCGCGGCAGTGTTAACGTGAGAAATATTGCATCATCATCAAATCAACATCATCAAATACATCATCATAATCATCATCATCATCAAATACATCATCATCAAATAATCCTCGTCAAATACATAATCATCAAGTACATCATCATCAAATAATCCTCGTCAAATACATAATCATCAAGTACATCATCATCAAATACATCATCATCAAGTACCTCATCATCAAATACATCCTCGTCAAATACATTATAATCGTCATCAAATACATCATCAAAAGTTGAAAACGATGCACTGGAATTTAGAGTTATTTCTTCACTTGGGTCAAGTATTACTGAAACGTGAAAAATGGAACGCAACGATATGGTGAATTCTTTCACCTTGAAATTTGAAGTGCAGATAAATCATATCAGCATCAGCGCAAACAAAAAATGATATAAATTCAAAATAAACATGCAGTTCAACCCAATAACAAAAGCTTAATCAACATATTTTTCGTCTCCATTTTCTCATTGGTTTAACAACAATACCGTACCTTATCCAGAATAAGTGTAACTAAGAATATGAAATTGAAAACGATATAAAGAAATCCTGAATAATTGAAATATTACATATACATTACACGACATATACACGTCCAAGGCGGTTAACATTGCACGCAAACAATGAAGATAAAACGTTTTTTATTCTACGCGACATGTTCAGCACAGGTGATTGTAGAGCTTCCTTCAGAGGGTCGAAATTAATAATATTTTTTATGTATCTTCGTCAAAAGTTTCTAATTACGGTAAAGAATAACAGTAAATCCTAACTTGGGTTGTTAGGCTTGTGACTGAGAATTTCGTACAACGTAACTCGCGAAAACGAATAGTTAGCAACATATGACTATAAGGACTGAAAAATAAAATATGGCATTACTCATTCTCTTGAAATAAAACCACAATATCTGAAAATAGCTCTCCAGTTTAGAAAATGCCTGCTCCCGGAAATGCACCAGCACAAACAGATGTTTTAGCGTGTAGACAGCCATGCAGTTACTGTATCATTAGCGCCTATTAACCTTTTCCTTCGCTATTTACCAGTATATCTTTAAATAAAATTAAAATGTTATGGAATGATCTTCGGGAACCCCTTAAAAAGGTATAAAATTTTGATATTGCTGTAATTCTGATCAAGCTCCGGACTGCTCGAGCTTCAAGATCTATGCTAAGTTGCGGCAAGAAATTTCGTCGCCTTGAAACTTTTAGAATGCAATCGCACCGAGCAAAACTTTCTTACCGCTGCAGGAACTGAAAAATTCTTCATGTCCAACTTTCCGAATTTTTTTAATAAAGTCCCATCATCAGAATCAAATTAGAAGAAATTCGAGGTATGGATACATATGAAGTTTCTTAAAATGATAATTTTTTTCTCGATTTCGACGCGTCACTATTTATAAAATTCGAGCGTTTTTCAGTGTGCGATGGTTTGTATGCATTACAAGCTCGGCGTTATGAATAAATGATGGGTTAAATCCTTACAATATCATTTAATAATACAAATGTTCGTTTCACCTTGATTTTGAAAGCTGAGTCTTCCAATTTCTGATGATAGTTTTCACTGATTAAGTTGTTAGCAATTTCCGTTAACCACATAAAAGATCTTGGAATTTTAAGCCACGTTCAATTCTTTTTGTAGACAGAATAAGCTGTATATTTGAAAATTTGGATAATTCTTATTGTAGATAGACTGAACTGTCTACTTTAATAGATGACGCTTTCATAAGCCATCAATGCGCAACGACCTTTGACAAAATCTTTCATCTTTTAAAAACTATTAATTTCGATCTAGAAAATAAATTAATCAATGAAGGTTCTCAATTGCAATCAAATAATGGTTTCAGGTGACGCGAGTCGGAGTCATGAAGTTCAAAAATTATTAATTTCTATCTAGAAAACTAATAAATCAATCATTCTTAACTGCAATCAAATAATGGTTTCAGGTGACGCGTGTCGGGGACGCTACGGTGAGCGTGCTGAGGCTGATCCCGATGCGGGAGCTGCACGGCAGACAAATTGTGTGTCGTGCAGAGAACCCTATGGTCATACGGCCCGCTGTTGAAGACATCGTCACTCTCGACGTGTCGTGTGAGATTCAATATTTATAAGCATTATTTATCTTTATCAAGAATAAAATAAGTGATTGTGGATATTTTTGAATTTGGATTTATTTCGATCTTATTGAACGTTAATTCCTAGGATATATTTTTAATTTGGCGTCTTTCAGTTACGTGAAAGTACATAAAAAAAAGTTTCAATGATTCCATGGCACGGATTATGGATGAGCACTAGGATTTATGGCTCGATTGACGAGATTCAAATTTTATTTGTCGTTCATTTATTATTGTGTTATCTTTCTAAAATAAGATTTTCTTGAAACATCGCTTTCTAACGTAAACATTAATTTTTCTTAAGTTAATGAATGACTCCTCTGACATCCTCCAACGTCGAAAACTTATGGCTTTCTAGTGTTGTTATTTTTTCAGATTACTCTTTTGAAAGTTTTCTTTCTGTTTTTTTAATGCGTAGTTTTCTATAAATGTTTAGAAAATTGATAGATTGTTCTTATTTGATGTTATGTTTCGCTACTCCAATCACTCGCCGAAGTTAATAAACTTCGTGGCACTTTTTTCAAACTTTTCTTCGAGTCCACTAACTGCATTTGTGGTTTGAAAACTTATGTTGAGCAAAAATAAAATTAAATTTGGCTTAGAGTGGATGAATTGTGCAAATAAGTTTTCGCGAATTTGTACCCTTGAGATTTTCTAGGTTCTAATGGTGAAAAAGTATCTCGGCCAGAAATTCTTCGTGGGATTGCTGATTTTGTCAGAAAGTTTTTCAACAGTCTCTTAAGAAGCAAAGTATAAGCCCAACAATTGAAGTTACCTTGATGTGATTTTTATCAAATTAAAATCTTTTTGCATTTAGATGCTGGCATTTCTTGCTGAGACGCCATGCAGCAAACAAATAAAAGTCTTGATTCTTACTTTGTATCCGTAGATACTTAATTAATCCTAGAATCAGCAACATCCCGAAGTTACGTCAACCATAAATAATATTACCGTAAAATTTCAAAGTGGTTGGAAATTACAAAGTCCATTTCTTTGCATGCCAAATTTAGCTTTATCTTTGTTAGCGACTCAAGGTTACCTTAATTTGTAAAATAAATAAAAATATGGATAATTCTAACTTTTCATCCGTCGTTACTACATAAATCCTGTAATCAGCCACCTTCCGAAGTTACGGTGAAACTTGCCGCACTTAAATTTGCAAAGAAAAAATAATAATCCAGATAATTTTACTTTTCATCAATGGTTACTACATAAATCCTGTAATCAGCCACATTCCGAAGTTACGATGAAATTTGCCTCACTTAAATTTGTAGAGAAAAAATAAAAATCTAGCCAATTTTACTTTTNATGCTTACTACATAAATCCTGTAATCAGCCACATTCCGAAGTTACGATGAAACTTGCCTCACTTAAATTGGTACGGAAGCTTCCACTCAGTTGGAATTTGAGTCACTTTTGGCACCAGGGCCTTTCTGATCTCGTGGAAACTTGATTTCAGAAACTAATGGCCGTTCAGCAAAAATTGTGGGACGCTAGAGGCCAATTATGGCCAAGCTTTTGAGAGAATTAAAGCGCATAGATTAGGACAATGCCAGCCTGAAAGCGCTGCTATACCGCCATACAATCTCCTGAGCTCACAATTGATCCTGTGCTATAGGGAGGAAAGCTTCATGAATAGCTAATGCATTAGAGTTATTATCAATTTAAAAATAATATGAACATTTTATCAACGCTTGGATCAGGCTATTAATCTCCACTATATAATTAATTTAAAAGCTATACCGCCATACAATCTCCTGAGCTCACAATTGATCCTGTGCTATAGGGAGGAAAGCTTCATGAATAGCTTGTGCATTAAAGTTATTATAAATTGAAATATAATATGAACATTTTATCAACGCTTAGATCAGGCTATTAATCTCCACTATATAATTAATTTAAAAGCTATACCGCCATACAATCTCCTGAGTTCACAATTGATCCTGTGCTATAGGGAGGAAAGCTTCATGAATAGCTAATGCATTAAAGTTATTATAAATTTAAAAATAATATGAACATTTTATCAACGCTTCGATCAGTCGATTAAATTCTACTATATAATTAATTAAATGCATTTCAAATGCATTAAATAACTTTTATTCGCGCAGGGAATTAATATTCAGAGCTTGTGACAGTACGAAAAAACTATCATGAATGAGTTCTAAAAAGTAGCTCAGTCTTTGAGAAATGTTGAGTAACAAAACATTTATAGTCCAGAGATATTAGACGAACGATAGCACTTTGTGGCGAAGAGCGTAGCAAACAAAGCTGCATTTGAATTTTTAATTCACTTGCAGCTATTAATACTACGTTAAAACAAGTGACAAGGTCCGAGTTTCGTCTAGCACTTACATCAAATTAGAGGATCTTTCCAACCATCTTCCAAATGCATAAACTATGATATCAAGAATAAACTATGGAATTCTGTACTTATTTGCGCAATATTTATTTTCATCTATATATACGCGCTAAGATTTACTAGTGAAATATCATTTTTCATTCTTTCAGTATCGTTTTTTTAAATTTTCGTGATTTTTGAAAACTCGAATAGCAATAAGTCAGCAAGAACAATTTCTTTGTTATTCCGTTTCTCACGCTGCATTTTAAATACTTAATTAACTTCTCCAGGATCCAGTCTTTATGGGACATGTATGCAGCCATAATTAATTAATTCAATGTACACAATGAAGGCCAAGCTCAACCGCTTATTGACGGTCATGCAGTGTTGGTAACTCATTCGACGAAGGCGTAACAAGCTTTACGCTGATCGATGAACTGATTACCCCTTGACTTTATTGTACGAAAATTTTACCCCAAGACTTTATTGTATGGAAATTTTACATGAGACGCCAGCGAAAGTAACCGCAGTAACGTAGACATTTGTCGCGCTTATTTTGAATCTTTTACCAGTAGACATAGAAATGTTGGGGTTATTATAAATAATTATTCCGGATTTACTTACGAAGAACTATTGAATGAACTTCCTGCATTATAATTTACAGTTGTTTTAACAATCTGAATTGTGTTGCCTTCGAGTACACGTAGACTGAAAGTTTATCGTTAATTATCTTTCAGACGTAGTCTGAAAGTTTATTATTAATTATCTTATTCTTTTCTGGAACACTTCGCCGTTTCAGACCGACCCAACGCGACGGTAACTCTCGTGTGGCCGCAAATCTCCCGCAATCTCCAGGAGGGCACCAAACTTTTGCTGCAGTGTCATGTCGATGCCAACCCACCGCCTCAGTCGTTCGCCTGGCTACATAACGTGAGGATTACAAAAATGTACAGAATATGTTTATGATCAACACGGGAAAGCTTGGTATTATATAACATGCTGAAGAATAACAAATATTGACTTGAATGATTTAATTAAAACACTGTACTTTCTGCCAGATGGAGTAGCATACGGGTGACGACCGTTAGTTGGAAACTACTGTAAAATGAAATTTCGTGCTACTTTTTTTCATCACTACTAATTAGCTTCAAGAAATGATTTCATTCATTCATGAAATTTTCAGAATAATAATTTTGTAAACTTTAGTAATTTTTACTCACACTTGCTCCAATAAACAACTTCTGAGAAATGAACTAATGCTGAAGTCGTGACTCCAAACTGTCCCCTCCATGCTAGTAGCCTTTGAAGTCATTCATCGGATATAACATTCAAGGTCTTGTTTTCAGTGAGCAAACCATGGCTCGTTGCTCAGGGGGACCAAAGCAAAGTCGGCTTAGCAGGCATAGCGAGTTCCGACATCGCGTGTGCCATGAATAGTAAAATGTCTGCAAACGACGCCTGCGCTGGCACGAATATTCCTAACACATCCTTACTCAACGCAGGACGTTACAGCGTCCCTGCCTATCATTAAGGAACTATAGCTGCTCCTACCCTGGTCGCGATGCCATAAAAGAAATGACCAGTAAGCGGGCATCGTGTCAGAATTTTGGGAGCACAGAAACACGTTGTTGCGGTTAATTAAATCGGTGGGTTTCACGAAGGGTAATTATTTTTTATGTGTATTTTTTGTTGAACAAGAAAGTTCAGCAATGTTGAGCATTTTCCACGAATGGAGAATATGAAGATATTTTTGTGACAGTTCTTTCGTCGTAAACATTTTGAATATAGTTTTTAGTAAAGAAGGCGAGACATTTCTTAAAGCAAAGCCTCCACTATGGGCAAAGCCATGAAAGTGCATTGCGAATTTTGCCTGATGCGAAATGGAGACCTGAGAATATATGTATATGGCCCATGTATAGTAAGCCTCACTTGCCTCTACGGACGCGAATTGGCAATCCTAACCATTTGTTTGTGACTCAAGTTTCAACAACAATTTCTGAGAAAACCTGCAGTGCAAACAATGTTATTATTCATCATATAACATGCAATTGTAAAAATAAACCATCCTGCGCTGCTTAAAGATATTTTTTCCCCTTTCCAAAACCTTTTATATCTCTCATTTTTTCACAAGAAGCTTAGCACAATCTAACGAAATACTGAAGTAAAACCTTCCCTAGACTTCAGCAATAGTGGTTATGAATATTGAACAATAACAGAGTTGTTATTGATGACCGCAAGCGATCGCGTTCCGCGAAAAGAAATAATAGGTACTTTATTTACTTATTATTTATATATAATAATAGGTACTTAATATAATATATAATATAATAATAGGTACTTATTACTTTACTTATTTTTACATAATAAATTAAGTAAATAATAATTACCTGTCAATTAAATATCGTAATATAATAATTGTAATTCAATTAAATAGGTACCTGTATTTGAAGCAAAATTTTTCGCTTCAATTTTTTTCATCATGAATAAATTCTGTGTTCTGATGGAATATTGGAAGAAAATAGTATAAATAATGGTTTTGTACAGAAAAAGACTAGTCTGAGTTTGGAAAATTACCTGATCTACAGTCAATAATGAGACTGGTTAATATTATTTTTATCGAGTCATAAATTTTTTCAAGTCACAACAGGCCAACTTGTGATATGGGAAATGATTTCGTTGTATTCTCTTTCGCAAAACCAAACAAATAACTGGAGTCTGAATCTCTTTAACTATCACGTAATAAACATCCATCCTTTGATAACCAGCAACCAAATTTTAACTTCAAGTAAGAATTATTATTTTTCGTTATTTATGATATATTTAAGCTAATTATCATTGCCTGGAGTCTAAATCTCTTTAAATATCAAGTAATAAACTTTCATCCCTTGATAACCAACAACCAAATTTTTGTAGTTATTTATGATTACTTTAATCTAATTAACATTGCATAGCAGGGCCGTAAGTTGACCTCGAACGAGACTGTGGGACTGTCTTTGACGTGGTCGCACTTGACGCTGCAGCGCGCGACCAGCGACTGGTCAGGCGCCTACCAGTGCACCGCTGCAAATGTTGAGGGAGAAGCCATCAGCAACACTGTCTTTGTCAACATTAAATGTGGGTGAAAAAGATACTAACAAGGTCTTTGTCAATGTCAAGTGTAGGTGATAAATATACTAACATGGTCTATGTTAATATCAAATGTAGGTTATAGATATACTAACAACATCGTCTTTGTCAATATCAAGTGTAGATTAAAAATATACTAACAACACCGTGTTTGGCAATATCAAGTGTAGGTGAAAAATATACTATCAACATCGTCTTTGTCAACATTAAATGGAGGTGAAAATATACTAACAACACCGTGTTTGGCAATATCAAGTGTAGGTGAAAAATATACTATCAACATCGTCTTTGTCAACATTAAATGTAGGTGAAAAATATACTAACAAGGTCTTTGTCAATATCAAATGTAGGTGAAAAATATACTACACTGTTAGAAAAATTACCGTTAACGGTATTAACGGCGTTTCAGTGGCCGGTCGGCACGTGAAAAGAAACACAGTGTCGCCGTTTTTATTCTAATTTAACACTAGAAATCCGTGTAATATCAGATAAAAACGGCGAAACAGTTTATTTTCACGGGGCGACCGGCCACTAGAACGCCAGTGGGACCGTTTTTCACAGTTTTTTTCTAACAGTGTAACAACACCGTCTTTGTCAATATCAAGTGTGGGTGAAAAATATACTATCAAGGTCTTTGTCAATGTCAAGTGTAGGTGAAAAATATACTATCAACACCGTTTTTGTCAACATCAAGTGTAGGTGAAAAATATACTAACTTCTTTTTCAAAGAAATAATTTAAAAAGTGCAGTCTTCTTCTATTAATCAAAATAATTTTATTTAAACGTGCGACAAAGTTTAATTTTACTTCTCTTGATTTGTTGATAACATCTTTGTCAAAATCAAGTTTGAGTGAGATAGAACAAAGGAAAGCCAATCGCTATTGTAAAGAAAATTGGTAGTTACTCTGAAAATCAACCGAATTGCTTTCTTAGTGCAGAAAATTTCAATTTCCAGTCTTTTCCAATGTTCAACACATCTTTTTTTGTCACATCAAGTGTGTGGGAAAAACAGCAATTCGCTATTCTAAGGAAATGAAAGAGCTTTGACACTTATCTGAAAATAGAATTTTCTTTGTGATAAGTTCATGAAAGTTCAGTTTAAATTGCCTTCTGATCTTAAAATCATCTCTGACAACTTCAATTGTGATTGTGATGTATCGTATGATATTTTCGCTGATAAATAACTAAACTGTAAAATCTTCCTATGGAAATCAACTGAATAAACATTTTTTGCTGCCATCTTACCTTTAATTATTGTCATCTCTTAATTTTCTTCGCGCCTTGCGAGCATAGGGCCAATGAGGAAAGTAATGCAAAATCAAAAACTTTATGTCTTTTCTAGCCCCAATTTTTCGATGTAAATCACAATTTCATAAATTAAATAAGTGCAAAATGTTACAGTATTTGATTACTGTTTTATAGGAACATGATCTATCCACCATCTCAGTGAATGCTTAGATAATAAAATATTTCTGGTCTTTTGTTAAGATTCTGCGTTACAAAATCGGTATTGACAATTGACAATCTTTGATATAAGGATAACATATATGTATTGTTTTTTTTGTTATCAGATGCTCCTCGGTGCACGCTTCCTCCCTCTTTCCGCGGCCTCGCTCTTTTCGACCAAGTCATCATAAACTGCGCAGTCGATGCGGATCCCGACAATGTTACTTTCCGCTGGACTTTCACCAAATCTACGGGCAATGATCGATTCCGGCTGATATCAAACGACTGGTGGGCACTCAGCTGATGCGAGCCTAGAAATGTTTGCGGCAGACTCGGGTAATCGAATGCCGCAAAAGTGGCGCTGAAATCCACGAGTAAAGAAATCGTTTTGGGTAAAAGTTCAGTTACTTGCATTGTCGGGTACTTTGGGTGGGGTTCAGAAGCCCGAGAGAACCGTTTTTTGCCTTATGAAATTCGACTTGTCATTCGATCGGGTTATTCAAATTCTGCGCAGAAACTGCGTAGAGCATAGGATAGGTAGTTTTTAATATAAGTTATTAGCCGAGGAGAGCACATAATAATATATTTTTGGTGCAGATTTATTTTTTTATGACAGATTTATTTGCAATTAATTATCTGAAATGCGCAGGTATTCATCAGAAGGACTGCGTTCAACACTCAAGTACGTTGTTGAGAGCCCGGAAGATTTCGGAGTAATCAATTGCGAAGCCACGAACGCAGTCGGTCCTCAGGCTGTGCCATGCAAGACAACACTTGTTTCTGTTGGTCAGTAAAATAAAACTCGTGTCTGAAAGAAATTATTTACGTCTGTGATGAATTTTGCTCATAAATTATAATGATGAATAAAAGTTTTACGCTTCGCATTCCTGCGAGAGAAAAAAATTTCATTTCAGATTGCATGTAAAAATTCAACCCCAGGCTCAGTCCATATTGCTTTATTAAAGTTGAGTTTAATATATTGGAATTTAGAAAAAAATATGGCTAAATTTAAATTCCCGTTCCCAAGTTATTAAATTCTCCATGAGTAACTAAATTAATTTCTGGAATCAACTTCGGTGTTTCGATCGAGTTCGCTACTTAGGATGCAAGTAGTTTTCTAATAATTGTTTATAAGCCTAAAAATGGGCTATCGCTTTGTTTAATAAAACGTGTGAACCAAGGATTTCTGCTGTACACTTTGCGTAATTCTGGTAAATGTTCATCATTCAAGGAAATTTCCAAAAGTTTAAAAAATTCCATTCCAGTTTTGGGTAACCCGATTAAAATTATATATCATGATCCCTATTTTCGAGTTAATTCATTGTTTCTTTACAAAAAATTAAAGTCTGAAAAATCAAAATCTTATATCAAAGTCTGAAAGAATTAATTTAGTGTTACATAGAAAAGTTTTATGCAATGTTCATCGTACGTATTGAAGGCATCCCAGAAGAGGTCAGAGGCTGCATGGTCACCAACGTCACTGCCACCACCGCCACCGTCAACTGCATGGCTGGCTATGATGGGGGACTAAAACAAAGTTTCAGAATTCAGGTAACCATCGCCAAATACCCTGAATATCTTATTATTAGAATAGAATACAATAAATAAACAAATAATTTTGGCAAAGAATATTTATGTATAGTGTAAATTAATTTCTTAATTGAAGCATAAGTTACTTTTATTTATGGGTACTGCTTTGGCTTCTATACAAGACAACACAGATATAATTTTTGTAAAAAATATTTCTGTAAAGGTCTAAATTAATTTCTTATTTGAATCATAAGTTGTGTTTGTTTAGAAGTACTGCTTTGGTTTCTATAGAAGACAACAAACATATAATTTTTGTAAAAAATCTGACTGTAAACGTCTAAATTAATTTCTTATTTGAATCATTGCTTGCTTTTGTTTATAGGGTAGGCATACTGCTTCGGTTTCTGTAGAAGACAACAAAGATATAATTTTTATAAAAAATCTTTCTGTAAAGGTCTAAATTAATTTCTTATTTGAATCATAAGTTGCATTTGTTTATTTATATACACCGTTCGTTCTTCTACGATTACGTTGTATTTATTACAGGTATGGCAGACGCAGGACGAGGGGCTGGTGTACTCAGACATCTTAGAGTCTGGGACAGCGACTCGCTACAGCAACACCTCCACATCCGTCGCTCCTTCAGCCGGTTTCGCTCCTGCAATGCACGCGGGAAATCCGGCCTCTGGAGCGGATGACGTTGAAGGAGAAAGGATTCCTGTGTTTCATGACAGAGAAACTTTTATGCCCGAAAGAATACAGTTCTTCGTGCCTGTACTGAAGCCAAACGTGAGATAAAATACTAGCAGAGATATACCCATATTATAGTAATACAATTAAATTAAATGCCTAATACTAAATTACGCATATTCTTTTGTTACCGTTTCATAGTAGGAGGGCTGTTTTTCACATTCTTATTCACGCCGAATATGATTTTGTTTCAAAATTTTAGATGCTGCTCATCAGTTTTTTTCTATCAGTCGTATCATATTTTCTCGTGTTTTCCAGCATTAACTATTTAGCTGTCAAATGAATATTTATTGTAACTCTTATTCTTTTCGCACATGCCTCACCGATCCACAATTTGAGTATGCTGCTATGCTATCATGAATTTGTTCGTCATCAATCGTCTGCCTATCATAATTTATTCAACACTCTCTCCACCCTCACCACTACTTAGAATATCAAAAGAATATTGAAAATATTTAATAGCTCCAATTTTAAAATTTACGATTAATCTCTATTTATCATAGTACAGTAGACAGTTTTTATATTTCAGTATTTTCTATACGTATCTGTACCAACGGGAAAAATTATTTTTTTATCGATCTATCAGTCCAAAAACGAAAAGTCTAATTTTTAATTCTTCAGGATAATTATTGTATTATTACTATTTTTTGATTAATTGTTTTCCTTACAGACACACCATTTTGCTGCTGTTACCGCCATGAACTCACGTGGTCAAGCGAAGCCTAAAAAATTTTACATACGGACTCTGAGCGACGGAACTGAAACTCCTTCATCGCCCAAACCGCGGCCAAAAAGTGTCCAGCCAAAGCGGGTCAAACATCCGCCTTCACTGCCGGCCACTCCGGCGTACGAAGCTCATACAACGCATTCGTATGTTCAAGGTGCGTGCAGTTAAAGAAAACTGTTGGTAATAAGTGCGTGATTATCATAGCAAAATGTTTGTAAGGAATTTTATGCGATATTTTCGCTTTTAAATGTTATTGAAACGTTTGTTCTGCAGTCTAGGAACAATCTCCGTTCATATTTCAAGCTGATAATATGATATTTAAATTTTAAACCCCCTTAACTCGATAACTGTTCATATTATCAGTTTCTCCAATGGCGACAGCTTTACGGTGGAAATATTTCTCTCAATCTGCATATTCTGACAAAATACGTATGTCTCTGAATTACGGTACAAAAAATGTGTTGGTATTCACAATTGCAGAATTGATTCACAGAACCACACAAAATCTTTGTTAAAGTCTCAATGGTCTCTGGCATATAACTATATTTGCCAGGTTTAACTATATATGGTTGAATCTGCCACAATACGGTATAATTCTTTAAAAATTTCCAGAATTTTATTTCAAAATCTGATATGATGTATTTTGCAGTTAATTAATGTTTGTAACTTTATTTATACCTATTGCTTACACGAGGCAAAGCCTAGAGATTAGGAATATATCCGAAATAATAGTGGTGTTAATTAGATTTAAAAAATCGCTGAATTTAGAGAGGTATGCAGATTTGAATTCAGATTAGATTAGTTTCGACTGGACCTCGGTGCATGTTCCTCACTTATGACACTACAATGCTTCACTGAAAACAGAAACATTTTATTATCCTGGACTGAAGACAGAGACATATTATTATCTTGAACTGAAGACAGAGACATATTATTTTCCTGGACTGAAGACAGAGACATATTATTATCCTCGACTGAAGACAGAGACATATTATTATCCTGGACTGAAGACAGAGACATATTATTATCCTCTACTGAAGACAGAGACATATTATTATCCTGGACTGAAGACAGAGACATTTTATTATCCTGGACTGAAGACAGAGACATTATTATCCTGGACTGAAGACAGAGCCATATTATTATCCTGGACTGAAGACAGAGACATTATTATCCTGGACTGAAGACAGAGCCATATTATTATCCTGGACTGAAGACAGAAACATATTATTATCCTGGACTGAAGACAGAGACATATTATTATCCTGGACTGAAGACAGAGACATATTATTATCCTGGTTACACTGCAGGCCTCTCCACTCAAGTAGAAACTCCAAAGTCTCGGATCTTCTTGTGGGTCATCGCCATCATTCTCGGCGTGGGGTTTGCTATTTTTGGTGTTGGATTTGGCGTTTACATGGGCAAGCGCCAGATCATCACGTGCTGGTATCTGTCGTGCGGCAGGCTGTGTCGCGATGGATGCTGCAGCGGAATGAGATCAGGTAACGAGAAAATTAAGAAGATTTTTCCCCAAACATGAACGCTGCAGGCAGGTCAAATAATATCAAAATGTTTTTTTCAAATAAATTCCAACCTTTTATATAATTTAAAAATACAGGTAAAAATATAATGAAGAAATATGTAGGGTCGTAAGTTAATTAAATTAGAAATTTTCCGTATCACAAGAATTGCGATGTCTGCGCCTCCATGAGTGATGAAAACGCCAGATTTACTTAAGCATTATATGCTGTTCAGTATATTTAGTTGTAGCATATTAGTTTAGTATATGCTGTTCTTTCTTAACATGTACATGTCGTCCTTATTGCTAAGTTTAATATATGCTCGACAAGAATAACTCCGAGTAAATTTGATAATGAAATTTTCTGAATGCCTGGCAAAAGGGAATAAGGAAAACATTTGATTTTTGATTGTTTTATTGGTAAGGTATCGTGCAGTGAAATTCTTCGATCGCCTTGTAGAGACAGATGTTTTATTCAATTGATAAATAATTTTTTTATGCAATATTCTGTTCACGTATATATGCTTTTATTTCTGTACATTTTTGATTTGTGTCTTGTGATTTTTTTCGCGTGATGAGATATTTCTAATTTAAAATTTCTGACGACCAACGCTACAAAGTTTAATTCTCAAAATGTATTATTTCTTCCTATAACTTAAGTTTGATGGTTATACATTGTCATGCTCAGCTCATCCAAATTATTATTATTGTACCTACCAATTAATTGAGTTTTAGAGGTTATAGTTTGTGAAGGAATCAGCCCAATTATTATTCCTTTGATTGCAGGAACGTGTTCTGGTCGATGCATAGGATGCTGGAAGCGTTGCAAAGCTCGATGCGAAGATTGCATCATGCGCAAAAAGAATGCGTGTTCTGCGGACAACTGCAAGGAACAACTAACAGGCTGCAAGTGTATTAGAACTTGCTGCTTAAGACTCAAGCCCAGGGGGATCCCCAAGTTTTGTCAAGCTGAAATTAAAGGCGAGGATGGTGAGAGCAAGACAGTTTCCTGCTGCATGGAGCTGTCGTCATGCCATAAAGGCGTGGACGACGGGGAGCCAGCCATGGACATGGCAACAGGACTGCGTGGGCCGGCGCTGCAGCTGCATAGAGGGGGAACTCTGTTACTGCGTCGGGCGCTGTCCAATAATGACTCGACATCTGGCAGCATAAAGCGCGGTAAAGATGCAGGTAGGCTTATCATCATAGATGATTTTTCTTTGTTCAATAATAATACACAGGGCAAAGAAAATGTTTCTTTTTTATTTGGTTACGGCGAGGGGATCTTTAAGATGCGGGTTAAATTCCAAACAGGTGGCACAGAGCCCACGCAAGTGCATGATGAATTGCCAAGGTTGAATCTTAAATAATTAAAAAAAATTGAACTCAGATATTTTAATTAAATATCAAAAGGCTTAAAGACAGAAAATATTATTCTCCAAGAATAGCCTACCTGAAACTCTTTAAAAATGTATGGCAGTTTCACCAGTGATATACATAGGTATATTACTTGCGCCTGGTAGCTTAGCTTGCAATGTAGCGTAACTAAACCCAGAGAAAAATCTTCCATCTTTATTTATAGATTTATTGAAGTCATAATTTTTGCATCTTATTTCTCAAGAACAATTAAAACTTGTTTGAAATGAGTCTTTTGATGTTGTCATTTATTTAGTAGCATATCATCTAAAAGTCGTTTAAATATATTCTTTTAGAAACATTACTTCAGATATTTGAGGTGACGAAACGAGAGTTTGTTTGAGCCTAGGGGTTATTCGGCTTTTATTATGCAATGTAGTACAAGCCATGTCGAAATTACCTATAATTATTTATGCACGTTATTGTACTCAAAATTTACAGCAGAAATACCCGACATCCTCATTAATTATCTCTGTTGGAACTTAACGTTCTATTTTCCTTTCTAAATTTCGTAAGAGTAAGAAATACTATTCAAATAAACACATAAATTTCCTCGCAAAACTCCATTTGGGAACCCAGTAAAATGTGAGTGTTTTTTTCACCCACAATGTTTAATTTACAGATGGAGAAGGCAGCTACATGAATGGGATGCTGGAACAAACAATATATGATTCGTCTGGAAAGTACAGAGGTTTTGCACATATTCCTTCACAACACCAAGTCGGAGTTCGGAGGGTGAGTTGGGAAATTACTTAAGCTAATGAGTTCAGGTTTATATTTTAGGGTGCACCTGAATTTTTTTTATTAAATTTAAATTTTTCATATTATAATATTAAATTTGATTTTTTACTCTATCATGGACGTGAATGGTCTGTTGTGAACGATTAATTATTAATCTCAAAATTTTGCATTCAAATTTTCCAATTGATGAAATTAGTATATTTTTTACAATCAGACAAAAGACTTAACGGTCATTGAGCTAAATTGAGGCAAATACAAGTTCGATATTTGAAATTTTAAGGAGAACAATTATTGTTTCCAAAAGATTGGCTCTTTGCAAATATCTAACGTATGGCATGGTGTATATATGGAAATTGCTGCATGAAAAATTACTACAAATTTTGATGTATACAATGAAATATTTTACTGAATTTTTTGAGAACATAACACCTTTTCACTAATTTACTAGCTAAATATATCTAAAATTCTTCATTCTTTTAATTCATATTAAACAAGCATATTTGATACAAAATTGTCGGAGAGTTATCCACTTAATCTTTTAATATTGTAGCCGTTCTTGAATTTCACAACTATGCAGTCTAGGCAAAGCTGTCGTTTTTTGTCGCTCCAATCAATAGGCTTTCTTGCCACAGAAAACAGTTTTGTCCAGGAATAGCGGTAGACTGAAGTAGAATATATTCGGAGGCCTTGTTAGGATATGTTTCTTTTATATGTGAAGGTGATCAATTTATAGCGTGAATTGATGAAAAGTAATTTGAAATGTTAGGGGGAACAAGCTCATGACCACGATCATGAGCTTCTTTAAATACTTTTCCCGATTTATTTATGATACAATCAACCAACACGATCAAGCCATGCGCTTGGCAGTAAGCGAAATCAAGATCTGTGGTATGAAGAACAATAATTCCCATTACCCCAATACAGATGGAATTTAAGGAATCCCACTCCAACAATTTGCAAGTATCATTTGGCTCTGTAATGATTTACATGTTGATAATTAGAATGCACCTGGTGATCATTTTCGATACGCACCATCGTATCAATCTTAATAAAATTTATTTAAGATACAAATAGAAAGAGGACGGACGACTGGTGGAAAATTTTATTTGATAAAAATTGAGACGTCGGTTTGCAATAATTGTCCCTACTTAAATATTATAAACACAGGGCGCAGAAGGAATAAATCTTTGACTATTCCAAAAAAGCATTCCATTCCCGAATGATCGTTATTCGCAATTAAGTAAAGATTTGTCTCATTTTTGTGATGTGTCTACATTAAGACACTGTGAAGTGTCTATAGAAAGACACTGTGATGTGTCTAATGTGATTATGCAATGTGTCAGTAGGTAGACTGCAAGGTGTCTGTAAGAAGACAACTTTATTTTTCAGTCTGATTTTTTGCTCACTATTTGTAAAATTAATAATTGAATTATTATCCTTATAATAATTTTTTTGGGGTAGCTTTTCCGACTTTGTAAAGTTCATACAATGCAATATTGATGTGATAGCCTATAATTTAACAAAATGTTAAGACAGAGAATCGGTTCTGTAACCAGCATCAATTTAAAAGCTTAACGTCAACACGTTACCGTCAAAATAACTCGTTCAGATGTGCGATCGTGAAGTTTATAGAAATTCGTTAGTCAATGTCTCTACTCAAAAAGTTTTGAAATAAACAACAACAAAAATCATTCTAAAACGAAACATGACAAATTTGACCTAGAATAGCCTAGTATATGTATTTTGTTATTCAAACTATCTAATTTATTGTGACAATCATATGCTTGAAATGGAAGAAAATTCGAGTAGGTTGATCATGTCCGAGGTCTGTTTCGATTTATTTTGCAATAAAAACACGTGGCCACTGGCAATATATATTTAATATCTAGATTCAGTATACATTTAAAAGCTAGGAACTGTCGGCGCGAGTTTTAAAAAAAAATGGTAAGCCGCTTCAGTGGCCTAACGCACAACCAATGTAGCGAAAAAATCACTTCGTTATGTCTAATAATGTTTTCTCGTTACAATTCCATTCAATGGTTCTTTGATAGAATGCAAACTTAAACGAGAGTCGCGCAATGTGAGAATGAATAAAAATTGTATGATCTTTTTCAGACTCCCGAGCCAATCAGTGAAGCGGCCCCAAACTCCACCTCGCCATCAGATCCATTGCTGGTCAACGGGAAAAAACTCAGTTTCATAGAACCAAAGCCTGCGTTTTCTGTCAAGGACCGGGATGACTCAAGCGCGAAAAAAGACCCAGACAGAAGCGGCGGTTTCGAGGTCGAAGACCGAACTGTCACGGACCTCACAGATCCTGAAGAGCAAAGAGAAACTGAAGGTGCAAATAGAGATTCAGGAGAGGGCGAAGGTGACAGAAGCAGGCCCGGTGCTCCGAAGTTTAGCGCCGTGCTCAGAAACTTTCGTCCTCCGAGTTTAGCCAAGTTTGTTCCTAAAGCCAAGGCGGCAACGAATTCCGGCTGTGACGTCTGATTGATTGTGCAACAGGGGACGTAAGCTGAAAATAACGCCATATTTAGGCCGGAAAACAAAACCAGGCAGCTACCTTATAGATTCATCGAAATATACGATTTTTACCCTATTTCTGATTGTTGAAAATGTTTGATGGGACTGATTTACGATCTAGATAACCATAAGCATCAAAACCGGAGTTGCCATTCAATGTTTAGCATTAATCTGTTCTCACTGTAACTGAAATTTTTGAAAGTTTATTGAGATTTTCGTGTTAAATTGTGCCCCAGCCATTTAAATAAGATGTTCCCTAACCAGGCTTCCAACATAGTCGAGCTCAGTGTGTAAAGACCCGTTGTGTCAGCCTGTTGCACTTGAATTGCTTGAATTTTAAGCTGTTTGTTTGTGATGCATGAGTTCATGTTGAGTTTAAACAATAATGTGGCTGTGATATGATATCATGATGAACGTCATATCAATAACGGTTTTATAACAACATTTTGACCATGTTGACTTTTTTGTAGATTTAAGGGATATTGTCCTGCTTCACTAGAGAATCGAGTTAATTCTTTAGAAAAATTGTTGAGATTTGAGCTTTTGGAGATATTGGCAGACTCGTTCGTATATATCGCTTTCCTCTAACTTCTAAAAAAGCTTCCGTCCTTTTCCGATACTACTTTGTTTTTAGTCAATATAAAAATCTATATCAACTAGAATCTTTGTAATGCAAGTATGGAAAATGTTGTCACTGACACAATAAAGAAAGCCACACAAGCGAAAATTTATAATGAGCAGAATTTTAGAATTCAATAAGTGTTTATAATATAAATTTGAATGATATTCATACTTTCTGTAATAAATTGGGATGAATTATTGTTCTTCAGCAAAGAAATACAAGCAAGTTTTAAGATACGGAACCATAAACTACGACTTTGAATTACGCAGTATATTATCTAAATAATAATTTTGGATTTAGTGCTCGTGCTTGTGAGTGTGAATTTTTTCATTGGAGAATTTTTTTATTGATTGAGAATTTTTGTCAATTCCTGCTGTTCGAATTTTTTCTTACCAGTCACACTTTAATTTTGTAATTTTATCTGATATTCTTGAGAGGGCAAAGATGAACAGGTAAATAAATTTAATTGTAATTCGTTCTAATCCATTAAAACTTGACTGAAGTGTACACGTTTGTTGTTCCAGTGCAACTCGACATTTTTTTCAGGGGGTCCTTGCATTATCAATGTTCTGAAGATAATATAATGGTTTTTATACATTTATTCCCAACGTCTTTCGTAATGGAAAAACGTTGGAACATTTTCGGAACTTCAATGATAATAATTGCAATCAAAATGCAATTTTTAATTTTAAAAATATACAAATTCGTAGGTAACATCAGAAGCTAACAGGGAACAGCTATTCAAATCTTCCAAACTCAATTCTGTGTTTATTTTAATTTGCCCACTGAATGCTTAGTGTTTTTTTAGTGGATTTTTTTAGATGACTTGCAAAATGATGTTCAAAATTGGTGTGCAAATTTCATCTCAAGTGCATGAACTAATTTATCGGCATTCAGATATCAGTTGTATAGTGAATTCAATTGACTCAGGCACTGAATTGTGAATGTTGGAATTCGAAACATTTTACAATGGTTCGAACATGGAAATTATGTAAGCTGTTTTGAACTTATAAGGTTGCATTATCAAACTATATATAATATGGGCATCAGAAAACAATATAGTTTATTGCATCACAAGAGTATCCTTACTGGTGGATAATAAAGAGTTTTATATCTATTCATACAGTAAGTTTCGAGCTCCAGCATCTGCTGTACGTGTAATTATCATACAATTTTGAAAATCGTTTATCTTTATCATCGTTATAAGCAAAGTTTTAAAATAGTATAAAATAAGAATTGACGTCCACGTCCATTAATGCACTTGATTCGGCCATCATTGATCATTTCCGCACATCAATTATTGAATTCATATCTTTTACAGCATTTCTCGCCTCCAAATCCAAAATTTCATTAAAATCGTGCATGTTAAATCTGTTTTGTCTGCAGAAGCAATAACATAATTAGTTTCATATACTTTAGCACCTATAAAGTATTTCTGAATCGATAATTTTGGTCTTCGATTAGCTTTAATTAGTAAAGTCTCTCTCAACTTTAAAAATTCAATAAAGTCTCTCTTCTATATTAGAGACTTAACTTAATCACTTTTTGACAGAAAAAATTAAAGGAGTTTTTTATTAGTAATTGTTCAGATGATCTTTATTGTTTGTTTTTGTTCATATGAGTAATTATTCAGATGATCTTTTTTATTTACATAACTCAGGTCTCAGTAACGAACAAAAATGACGAATAAGGTAAGAGTTCGCACTGTTCACCAATTGTTCCTGTAATATAAGGCTTTAATAATATATAATATTGTGAAAAATTACACACTGCCAGCGTCAATCAAGATTTTGCAACGGTGTCTCCAAAACGCGGAATGAGGGCTGAGGACCTTAGGAATTTGTTGAAAGGTTAGAAAAAATTATTGTGCTAGATTATTCCAAAGAAGTAGCGAAAACCTAATGGTTACGATTGGGACTTTTGGACATGAGGTTTAATCCAGGATTTAAGTATTTTATTTCAGTCCTATCTTCACTCAGCAGTTTGCCCTATCTTTCGTAGAACAAATATAAGTATGCTATCGGTCGATTCTTTAAAAGACTTTAAATGCTACCAGGTAATACGGTGGCGATGTCATGCTTAAAAAATATAATTAATTAGATTTTAACTTTTGACATGATGTAATATATATATAAGATCAGTTTTCCATGGATGAAATGATTGTATTGAAAAGGAACATGAAGATTTCAGACGCTGAATGAGGTTCCTTCGTCAGGGTTCGGACAACGCTGCACACTTTGCCCTGGGCCTATACTTTCATAAAAAGTTAAGAGATCGTAAGTTCATCAGTCAATCATTGACGGCCTTTCAAGCAAAATCCACCAATCATAGACAAGAAAAAAGAGCGCAAATACTTACGTTCACTTAGCGAATTTTGAAAGTATGGCCCCTGGACGATAATTGGCATGTGCATCGATGTGTCGATTGTATAAGCCAGTTAATGTGGCATCTTATTCCAGGTTTATTATAAGATTACTGAATCTGAAGGGCGGAAGCTTCATAAGTTGAAAAGTTAAATTTGTAGCAACGTCTCCGCTCCTAAATTATTGTGCATTTTGCTCGGGCAATGAGCGGGTACAGTAAATACCGTTAGCATTAGTGGGAAATTTATTGCTTAGAAAGTCTCAAGACTAATGAGGGTAGGCAGCCGAACATGCCTTCAGTTGTTCAATGAATATATTCTGAGACTCATATTTATTTTCAGGTGAAGTTGTCACAAATCTAATCCTAATACATGCTATTGAGGCAGCAATTTTGAAAGTCAAGCTTATCATACCTCTCAGAGACAGATTAAATATAAAAGAACCCTAGGACAAGACACGTTAAAGGGGAATAATTGAGTAAGGTTTTTATTTTTAAAATCGAATAACTAAAACGAAACTTTTACTCAAAAAAGGCAGGAACACATAACATAGGTCATACATAAAAAAAAGTATTTAAAATAAAAATTCTGATGGTTAACAGATCGTCGCACGAATGTTTTAACCATTTAAGCCTTAATTAGTTTGAAAATGTAATTTCTGTACTGACACCTTCATAATATTCCAGAAACTGAAAGTGACTAACAAGATGAACGACTCAACAATGACATATTACAAATTTAAAATAAAACCATGTAATATGTATCATTATAACTGCTTCAGCTGCAACTCACAGTCACACAAGCACCGGCAAGTGTCTCACAGTAAAGGAGGATCAATTCCTTTGGAGTGAGCGAGATCACTTTGATTTTCAAAATATTTTTGACGAAGAAATATGAAAAAATTATTTCGCTGGTCCATCTTAATACGAGTATATGTAGTGGTATTGCCATAATTGATATTGTTAAAAAAATAATTTACAAAAAATAAAACAGACTTTCGGTAGATACCAGTGTTCCACACTCTGAATATTCAGATTCAGAGCGCAGAAATCTATCAGGAACTGTTAAATTGGTCCAAAAAAGCTGACAAAATGGATTTTGTAGGACTTTTGAAAGAAATTCGAAACAGATGCGTGTTTTTATTTCCTTATTTGTTTAAATTTATTGTATCACAGCATCAAAGATAATTCATTCTAGACTCTCCCCTGTGCTTTATATCTGCAAATTTTTTTTAATAGCTCCCATAAAACGTAGGGAAGAGTTGCCCAAAGACCTATTTTTTAAAATTATTCTAAATCAATCCACGAAATTTTTCAGGAGCTGAAACTATTTTCAAATACGCATGTGTATCAGATATGCTGGCAGCAAACGGCCGAGACAGTGCAGTGCTGGCGGGAATTTTTCTTTTTGAGACAAATTTGTTCGTTCCATCATCTGCCCGCAGCACCTTATCTTCAGCACTCCTCCTTTCATACTCAACGAGGCTACTAATGAAGGCTTTTGCCTGAATACAAGCGTCTCGAGGCTGGGGTGATAAGCGGGCTATGCAAGAGCCACCAACTGCCAGCGATGCTCCTGACACAGAAAACATACTGCCAAGAAAATAGCAGCTCAAAATAACTACTGCAAATGACCCCTTGCCTGGTCGCCCGGCCTACATTTGGGATGAACTAAACTGCTGGGATCTTACGCATTCCTGGAGGCAGA